TGCATTGGGTGGCGGTGTATAGACACTACCGCTGTTTTTATTTAACGAGTGACACCTCATAAATAATATATATAATAAGCTACGACTTTTGGACGTTTGATCTCTTTATCTGATCGCTCTGGAGAAAACGCTTTTGCCCCGGCACATTATGGGTTATCGCATTCACCTTATCGCACACGTTCTGCGGCATTGCCTGTTGGCAGCGCTTCGGCGATGATGATGATGATGAAGGAGATGCAGAGCGTTTTCCCCATGCAGAATACAAACGCTCCGATTATTATTTTGACAAATACAACATCCCTCGCTGATTGCAGGAAACGCAAGTCCCACATCGACGGTTTTCCAGGGTGTGGGTCCCCCCCACCCCCCCCCCCTTTCAAATTCCTGGGGATAAACAGAGCGCACTTTTTGTGTATCCTGTAACAAAGGAAGCCCCCCCCCCCGCGGTGGGTTTAAACGTAGGCACCTCCGTAAACATTTCCGAGTAATTAACTAAACAACGCTGTACCGAGGGATGTTTCTTCTCTCCCTCTCCTCTCCCTCCTCCTCCCTCTTCACGGATATGGAAGCCATTCGTGGCGATATTTACAAAGGAAACGAAACGTCTGAGACCTCCCAACGATCGTTGGATTAACCGATTCCCCCCCCGCCCCCATCCTTCCGTAGGCGGCGGACGGTACCGAAAATTGCCCGGACATTGGGGTCACAACAAAGACAAAGATCCCCCGTATAGTCCTAACAGACTGTTGGGACAAGTGTTGTTAGCGAGCACCTATGAAGGCCGGCACGGCACACCAGGGGGATGGCTGGCCAGCACCACGCCCGACCGCCTTTGTCTCCCTAGTGGCGATGCTTACACACCGCACTAGGCACTCATCTGAGGCCGAGTCGACCTAGGGGGAGGCCCAGGATCGGTTCAGATAACCGTCACCGCTGTTGGTGGTCCTGAGCGAGAATGGAACTCGGGTGGCCGGGTTCGTGGCGCAGCCCGGCGCGAACCGCTGCACCACAACGCCCACTTATCCAACATTCAGGGTGACGACGCCGCCGCCGCCGCCGCCACGCTTGGGTCAACTGCACTGATGGGATCATTTGCCGCCTTCGCTCCGTTATTTACTTTAACGATCTGTCCATCTGTCTCGAACGCCACTTTTTCCTTTTTTTTGTCGAAAAGCGCGAGGCTAAGTCACGATGATTGAGACTCGGCAGATCAGGCAGGATGGGACCTGTGCGAGCGCGCGTGCGTCTTTTGTGCCGACGCTGCTCACGTTTAACCTTCGAGTCCTATATTAGCGGCTGCATAATGCAAGCGCTTTTCATCTTCCGACTCTCGGATGTCTCGTCGATCTATGTACCGCTTCGCGGTGGTGAGATGTTAACTACCTCGCCTGGTATGCAGGAGGTCGTCGGTCCGATCACGACCACTTGACGCCTGCTGCTGCATATTTGGAGTTTGCGTGTCTCTCTCTCCCCCGTGGTCGCGTAGATTTTTATCCGGGTCCTCCAGTTTTTCCCCTCCACATTTAGAAAGACGCGTTTAGAGTATTTGGCTGTTATACATTTCCACACGTGATAAGCCACTTCGTTGAGCTATCATTTGTGGGCAGATAATTTCTGAAAAAAAAGAGCTACATAGCTCAGTGGACCTTATCTGGTAAAATAAAAGAGAGAGTATAAAGAGAGTATAAAATAAAAAGTAGTTTAGTTTAAATAGTTGAGGACCCGCAGCTGCTGCACTGTGACACGCGCCTCCCTACCACCGCACATAACAGCATTCATTTTGATCAACCCTGACAGGATGATGAGCCAAGTCAACCACCGACCAGGATTTGAACTCATAATATTCCAACGGAGAGCCGTGTGCGCTGTCTCCGCGCCACTCGGCCTGGATGATGATGAAGAATTATAGTATTATTATTATTATTACTGTCATGTCTCCCTCCCTGCCCCTCTGTGTCCCCGCACACTTCAAATTTCCATTTTTGCCAGCCAACAAAAGTCTGCAGTGCATCATTACCTAATTTACATTTAAATGGAGCCTATTGGAATAGAGGGAAAGGTGGACCAGGGTGGTGGTGGATGGTGGTGGGGGATTGGGTGATTGGAGTGGTGGGGATGGGGAGGGGGTATGAATGAGAAGCACAGGAATAGAATTCGAGAAGAGCTGTTGATGTGGGAGGCCTGGGGGAGATTTGGGGGGTGAGGGATTGGGGGGGGGGGGTTATTGGGGGGAGGGCGGCGGGGGGGGGGCAAATGTCACAAGCCACCTGCTGAGTTTTAATCAGTAATCCCGGAATTATCTGGGGCTGATAGGGCTAATTGGGTAATTTTACTTTTTTTAATTGATTTTCTCTTGCAGTGATTCACGCCCAGGTTCCAGAACCGCACCTGCAGTCGGGAATGTTTATGAGAAATCCACGGCAGATGGCACGAGCAACTGGTACAAGTGTTTTGGCCGATCTCGTGTTTATAATCAAAATCATAATAACGTTGCGATAAACGAGGCCCCGTATTATGTAAGGGGTTCTCTTGCCAATAACATCTGGCGTTTGTTTAACAAGCCTGCATCTGCTGCTGAGGACTAGGCAAGTCAAAACCGGTCCAGAGATTACTGGCTTAAACAGATGTTGCCTAAATACAGGGTGCTTCAGAAAAATGTTAACACTTGTATGGGAATATCGTTTTTAATGGAAAAGAGTGGATAATACACAGTAACATGATAACAAATGTATCTTAATCGCTTCAAAAAGTATCCACTTGTCCGCCATCGTTGTCAGCACGTGGTCTGGAATCTTCTCCAGGTGGTCTCCAGAGCCCAGAGGCAGCAGCACATGTCACGTGGTCTTGTTGCAAATTCTCCGAAGTGTTTACATTTTTTTGAAGCACCCTGTATATTAGTCCGGAAAGTCAATCGGCTGACGGACTAAAATTATATATTTTACTTCTACTCTGTGTGGAGATGCAAAAGGGAGGTGCTTCTATTTACTTGTACTGATGATAATCATTAATAATGATGATGTCCTTTAGCCAGGGCTATGGAAATGCCACCAGAGCAGGGCAGGAGAAAGCAGCAGAGGGAGACGGGAGGGGCTGATGGGAGGATGCGGTGGCGCGAGATACCAGGACGGTGGATGTGATGCGAGAAGAGGCGCCGAAAAAGGAGCTCGCGGAAGGGGAGAGCAAACGCGAGCGGCCAACCAACCCCCCCCCCCCCCCCCACGCAACGAGGAGACTTTTCGACGTGAAGAAGATGCACCAGGACCCCCACTAAGCCTCACGACGATTTATTAAAGACCCTGCATCGGAGCGTCCCTTCGTGGCACGGTGCATCGCGGAGAATCGTGGAATCACTGGGAGAAACCTCGCCACGCACACCACCATCACCAGGCCACCCCGCACCGCAAGCTCGCGAAAGCCTGGCATTCCCAGGCGGTCTCCGATCCAGTTACGAAGCCAACTTACCTCCTGATGTCTGGCAATATCTTGGAGGGTGTGCGGGGGGGGGGGGGGAGACTCGGCCATGGGAGTTTGTTTTATTAATGTGCAGCCTTCCGCCACACGTGTGCGGCAGGACTGCCGGCACAGCCAGACGGATGTTGTGGTCAGAAAGGAACCCTTGTATTGCTTAGAGAGGAAGACAGAGACAAAGAATAATAGATGGCACGAAAAAGTAAAATAACCATGCCCTCCGCCAAATCCCGCATCTGCTGCACAGTAGACATGCACGGACCTCCAGGATCTGCTTTGACAGTCCCATTCCACCACCATCTGGCCTTTGATGTTTACCCCTTGGGTGCCGGACTCGTGGAGGTCAATCTGGCCTCGTCCACCCGACGCACGTTGGGGGTTGTCTATGAAATATACCACAAGAGAAGGACGTGTGGCTGCCCGGAGATCCCAGGGGACACCAGCGCGTCGGAGAGGAGGTCCACGGAGATGTGCACGCCGCTGCGTGACTTGGGGATGCCGTGATCCAGCAGTGGATTGTGCAAGGCTGACGACAACGATGAAGGTGGTGATGAATAGCAGTGGCTTTTTCAGAATCGTCGCGACGAGTCTCAGCACCTTTTGATGAGCGTCTTTGATAATGATGTTTGACTAGTTCCTCAATTAAAATCTTAATGCACGAGGAGAGAAGACAAAATACATGTAAGGACACCATCTGCGAGAGACGAGAAAAACAACCTCAATATAGTTTAAATATTTATTATATCAGCTTGAGAGTGTTTTGCTGGTATTGCTGCACCGCTGTCATCGCGGCCTCGAGATGTTTACGTGTTAAAAAAAAATGAACGAGCCGCTTAGCGACCTCTCACGAACGTCGCTCAAGAATCTGCAGCTTCACACTCTCCAGGCCACGACGGGCCTCGGCAGCCTGGTGCCCAATTCCAACCTTCGCGCCATTTCTTTTTGGTTCTACCGCGGTTCCAATTCTCAGAGCTTAGCGCACCGCCTCGGTGGGGTAGGAAAAACGAGAAACGTTGTCATCACCTCGCTCAACGTGGGAATCCACACCCCGGGTTACAGACGCCGCCGCACCTCGCTCGCCGCCGCGGTTGATGGCGGTGAGCGTTTTCGGCAAGAGTGCAGCACGTTGTGAGCGACCGCCGAGCTCAGTCCGGACACCTTATGGAATCAGATTCTTTCGAAATCCTTTCCCTCCCCTTCCCCCCCACAATTGAATCCATCCTACCCTCCCTCCAAATAAAAACAAAATTCGAGATTGTCCTTGAAAATCCAAACCAACAAAACATTTTTTTTTAAATCTTCAAATCACAATTTTTTAATCTGAAACTCATCCCTAATGCCACATCTCTCATCCGCACACACACACACACACGTCACGTCACGTCATTAGCGACTCCGTTTTGCATTCGAGGGAGCATCCAGTTGGTGACGTTGCGACACCGGAAACAGAGTCGCGATGTTAAATAACAAAATTGTGCCGTGTCGTGCGTTTTAAAGGTCGCCAATGATGCATTTTGGCCGCGGTGAATTACCTTTGCTTAAGATTGACACGCTTGCAGTCGTTTTCGTCGGAAGATATTATCAATAACGGCGCTCAAACGCTCCGCGGATTTGTGCCAGCCTGGTGTGCAGATGCCGGGGGTGGATTGTTGTAATCGCAGCACAGTGAGAAGAGACGGCGATGCCCCTAGGAACTCTTCGTCCAGCAGTGGATTGATCACGGCTGATGGGGACGATGCTAATGTGGCGGTATTGCGCCCAGCCCCGCTGCAAATCCACCCCGCACACTCGCTCCGGAGTGTCTCTATGGAACCCTTTCAAAATGATGAAGAAGAAGAAAAAAGAATCGGCTTTACCCTTTCTGACAACAATACCGGAGGTGTTTAAGAGGTTCAAACACCAAATAGACACCCCCATTGTAAGGCACCAAGTTTGCATTCGCCGCGCATGATCCCCTCCCCCAACTCTCTACGGGGGCTAGCCATTGTGTGCCAATGCCACAACAGGCAACAGGCAAAAATCAACCACCGGCTGCACGGACATGTTTCCGAAAAACAACCGAAGGACCCATCCTGCAGCGGCGTGCACGTGGCGCATGAAGTAAGAAAATTCAATTCCCGTGTGAAAGCGTACAAATCACGGCTGATGACGATGACAATATAACGATGACGATTACTCGCGCTGTGACTGAGCAGAGAGTGGAACGCACGGTCACCCGCCGCCTGCCCCCCCCCCACCCCGGATCGCTCGACTGAGACCCCTGAGCCCATCAGCTGACAGCCGGCGCCGACGAACGGCTAAAGAACCCAGACGCCAATTTGGAACGTTTGCTGGTGTTCCAAAATCAGTTGCCCACTTCAGCAACACGCTGTGAGTGAAGGATGATGGGTCTCGGTGTGAGTCTCTGTGTGAGTCTATGGGTCTCTGTGTGAGTCTGTGGGTCTCCGTGCGAGTCTATATTATGCTCAATGGTTGCACCACAGCACCGCATTGGCTTACAATCAATGCCATCAAATGATGGTTCGAGAGATAAACATGAATTCATATAAATGTTGCCGCTGTACCAAAGCTGACTTCCTTATCTCTGCAACGCGCCGTGCAAGCAAAGAAGCAGAGGAATTGTACGCAAATAAACACACACAGCCAAGGAACTCAAACCACTTTTCCACATTAAATATTGCACTTTTGATGGAACGCGACGAGACAAGGCTGAGTGATCACGCACAACAAGACCAGACATTATCGCGGTGGTGCTTTGGGAGCTGGAAGCGAAGCACGTCGGAACAGGAGAGATGTCAAGGAGCACACGGCCGCACGGCTGGTGAACCGTCATCACAGAGTGACTGGGTGTGTGTGTGCGTGTGTATGTGCATGCGTAAGCGTGTGCGTGTGCGGAGTGCGTGCAGAGCGCCCTGCGATACGAACCCGGTGACCAGAGTTCTATACCCGCTCACGGCCACCAACACCAGCAGTGAAGATTGTCTGAACCGGTTCTGGGCCTCCCCCTGGTCGACTCAGCCTCAAATGAGTATCTGGTGCGGTGTGTGTACATCGCCACTGGGGAGACAAAGGCGGCCGGGCGTGGTGCAGGCCACATCACGTTATCGTGTACCGTGGCGGCCTTCACAGGTGCTCGGGAACAACACTTGCCCCAGCAGTCCGTTCAGCCTATATGGTGAATCCTTATCTTTGTGTGTGTGTGTGCGTACAGCCATAGGCTTAGCTGCTGCTACTGCGGCAGCAGCAGCTTGGAGCGAGCGAGGCGTGCGAGTTGAGACTTGCGACATTGAGAACACAGTCACGGTCGTCCCGGTTATCAGAGAATGTAGCGCACACGCCCCCCCCCGCCCCCCGTGAGCGGATATTCGTTGCGGTGGCGTGGCTGGCTGGCATGGGGCCCTGGTGCGACGAACGAAATGGGCCCCTGATCTCAAATCTGCCTCTCTTCCCCCCACCTCTTCGCAGCCCGGATCCTGTGGCCCCTCTCGCCCGTGGACCCCCCCCCCCAACCTGGTGCAGTTGCACCGCCTGCACACTTAATCGCTACGCCGCTGCTCCCAGGATATTTGTTTTCTTTATTATTGTGCACCAAAAATAAATAAAATTATCTCTCTCTTTGCGGGGGAGTCTTCATCCACTTTCCGCACTTAGTTGATTTCAATATAATTTGAATGTTCATGCCGGGTTACTGCGTCCTAACCGATTTAAGCTTTAACCCCCTAACCCCTTTACCCAGAGGTACAAATAAGTCAGGGGAGAGAGGCCGGGGGGGATATTCACTGGTGTAAACCAATATTCATTCCCCAGTAGTAACAAATAAATCACCGGCTTCGTTTTTCCTGTGACGGCGCCACCGATGATGCCACGCCAAAACGTCGTTGCGATGTTCATTTAAAGATCGCTCCCCGAGTATTCCACGATAGAACTGCGTACGCCGAGCTAATTAGCACCTCCGATTAGCACGGTTGGCTACGTACAGTGTGAAAGAAGTTCAATATACACGCATACATTCATACTTTGGTGCTTGCATTGTCCTTGTGCTGCTCGCCTGTTGGAAGTTTTTGGTCTCTAGCACTGGTGAGGCGGTCTCTGGTGCAGGCCAATTAGTTTCAAGGACGTTACGTACATTATCAAAGTATATATTTGCATTTTTCATCAAACATATCTGTGGTTAATGCAGACCTGATGCCTTGTAATAGGTGTCAAATTGGTGTTTGAACACCTAAAGTCGTGTATTTAAGCCAGAATTGATCAATCATTTTTAATTCAGTATTTTGATCCTGGAAAAAGGATCCCAAAGATGCGTCCAAATGTTCATCTCAATAACCATCGTTGCCATTCTCATTCACTCAGGCGAGCGCCTTCGGCGCAAGAGCGCTAACGAATTAGTATCTAACGAGAAATAATAATTGCGGAATCCTTATTTTGACATTTACAGACGGGGGCGGGTGGTGGTGGCGGGTGGTGGTGGCTGGGGGGGGGGGTCGGCGTATCATTCTTCTTTCCTGACGGACCGTGAACATAGAAGCTCGGAGAGACGTCACCGTCGCGTCTCGCCCACGCCCTCCTCCACCGCCACCGCCCGTCCCCCGTCACCGGTGCGGGCTCGCGGAAATGTTGCCGAGCGAGCGGCGGCAAGACGGGCGAGCCGCCCGTGTCCTAACAACGTATCGCTGTGCAATGTGACTCCGCGCTTGTGTTTTCTTTTACCTCGCGCCGAAAAAGTGTCAGTGACGCATCCGCACGAAACCACGAAGCACGCCCGGCGTGGTCATTGAGCGTGTGCTGTGTGTGTAACCTCGCTGGGCCCCACGGGGCTTAGAGCAGACCCAGGTGCCGGGCTACCGCAGAAGGGGAGACGTTTGGTGAGGCCGGGTGCGAGGGCCCTTTTAATTCCTTGCACCAGAGCCCACGCCAACACCAAAGAGCACCACCGTCATCATTATTGCCGTCGCACTGAAAAAACAACAACCCTGGGGTCGTGAGCATCGGGCTGCGTTTTGTCACGGTGGCCGTGGGGGGTCAGGATGCCCAGTTGGCACTGGCGATGCCCTGTCTTCGAGTCCGGCTTAGCGAGCAACCGCGATTAAACCCGGCATCTCGAGTGCAGAGAGTTCAGGGCCTTTAGCACAACTGAATTATAATTGGGAGAGAAAGAATGCGACGGGGTTTTTTTTTAACACGCAGAACTATCGACACGCCGAGCGCTTGGCTACCCAGCCGCCTAATTATGTATTTATGGTTGAGCTCGGGGGGGGGGGGGGGGGGGGGGGTGGTGGGAGAGATGGGGGTATTAGGGTTAAGCACGCAGACACGAGCTAACCGGCTGGAGCGTGGAAACTCGCCGCAAGAATTGCTCGGGCAACACATCCATTCAGCCCTCTTCGTTCGCATTATTTGGTGCAGTTGTGCGGAAACGACGGGATGCGTTTTTTTTTCTCCCCCCCCCCCCCTCTTTGCAGGAAGATTATTCTCTGGGAAGAAAAAAAGAAAACGGTAAGCGTTCCGCGCCTCCGAATCGACAAAACCGCTGCTCAGCGTGAGCGATATTAATCTGCCAAATTTGACAGTCATTTTGTCCGGGAGACCAGACATCTGTTTTAAAATCGGAATGAAGCGCTGTGCGATGAATCCAAGGCCTGCCAGAAGAGATACGGTGCTCTGTAATCTGCTGTCGCAACGGAGGAATGGCTCGCACCAATTTTTTTGGGCGACAGATACACGAATGCACAAGCGAACGTGGCAGCACACACACACGTAAAGATGCCTCGCATAGCCTTAACAGACTGTTGGGGCAAGTGCTGTTAGCAAGCACCTATGAAGGCCAGCGCAGCGCACGAAAAAGTTGGTAGCCAGCACCACGCCCGACCGCCTTTCTCTCCCCAGTGGCGGTGATTTTACACACCGTACCAGGTACCCATTTGAGGTTGAGTCGACCTAGTGGAGGCCCATGACCGGTTCAGATAATCGTCACTGGTGTTGGCCGTGAGCAGGAATCGAACTCGGGACGCCGGGTTTCGTAGCACAGCACGCTAACCGCTACACTACCGTTCCCCACACAACAAAGACAAAGATCCCCAGTGTAGCCTTAACAGACTGATGGGGCAAGTGCTGTTAGAGAGCACCTATGAAGGCCGGCACGGCACACGAAGAGGTGGGTGGCCAACACCCACCCACACTGCCGCTCCCCACGCACACACATACGTACACACACGCGCACACACACACACGCAGCCTTGCGCTACGCCGGGCGAATTCTCTTTATGTAAAAACTCGCTCCAAGGGCAAAGGATTGTCGCACATTCCCACTGGCTGCAGTCACTTTCCATACTAAGGGGACCCCCCCCCCACCTCGCCCTCCCCTTTCTCCCTTTTATATTTAAAGAGGAGAAAAATATAAAACGAACAGCTTTACATTTTGGACGGCGGGGATGATCCCACTTCTGAGAACCATCGTGGATGAGAGCTTCGCGGAGTGAGGAGTCACAGATATGGCACAAAGAGGCTTCAAAAATCGGCGCTATTACCGCGCCCGTGATTGGCAGCGCTATTACAGCCAACAACGAGGCGGCCAGGGGCTCACTCTCTCCATGCACCGACTGGGAATGTCGCGAGTGGACTGGCACTGATAACACCGCTGTGGCAAGCCAATCGGAGCCTAAGGGTAAAAATAAAATAACTCAACGTTTGTTAACGCTGAACGGCGTTCTGCCCGTAACATGCCCATCATCCATTGTGTTTCGCAACAACGCACGATGAGTTTGTACGCAATTATTTTATTTTTTGCTTGCGTAGAGCCGGGCCCCATCGCCTGTATGATGGAGTGCTCTGGTAACCCAGCCCTGATTCTGCTGATGTGGGGCCGACTCGGTCAAAACCGGTGCCCAGAGTTCGCGTGCTCGCTGAAACAAACGCCGCTGGCTCACAAACTTTGGCGTGGACAAGCGAATTGGACGGCGGACTGTGGAGACGCAGAACCCAGTTTTCACTGTACAGCAAGAGCCCAACACAACCCGTCAATCACGCGGCCCTGAAGGAGAAACGTGTTAATCTATAACAATGTTTATAATAATTTGCACGCATTGCACGCCTTCTGTCACGATGTCTCAAGACGAAGTGGACGAAAATGACAGAGATGACTTAAAGCGGGAACTGGTTGGCAAAAATAAGGGCCAGAGAAGAACAAAGCTGCCCATCAGGGAAAATCTATTTTTTTTTTAGATGTGGTGCGGTTTTAGTCGGCACTAAATTATATAAGGCACCGTCCTAGAGCCTTGGCCTCCTAAGGTGGGGAAGCTCCATAACCACAGGGGGAGGAGGGTGGGATCAGGTAATAATGTGCACACGAAATGTGAACTAAACTAAACTTTTATTTCACCAGGTAAAGGACCACTAAGCTATATTGCCTTTGTTGCAAAAATTATGCCCCAACAAAGTGGCTTATCGTCACGTGGACACTTACAGTGAGGGAAAAAAGTATTGGGTCCCCTGCTGATTTTGTACGTTTGCCCACTGACAAAGAAATGATCAGTCTATAATTTTAATGGTATGTTTATTTGAACAGTGAGAGACAGAATAACAACAACAACATCCAGAAAAAACGCATGTCAAAAATGTTATAAATTGATTTGCATTTTAATGAGGGAAATAAGTATTTGACCCCCTCTCAATCAGAAAGATTTCTGGCTCCCAGGTGTCTTTTATACAGGTAACGAGCTGAGATTAGGAGCACACTCTTAAAGGGAGTGCCCCTAATCTCAGCTTGTTACCTGTATAAAAGACACCTGTCCACAGAAGCAATCAATCAATCAGATTCCAAACTCTCCACCATGGCCAAGACCAAAGAGCTCTCCAAGGATGTCAGGGACAAGATTGTAGACCTACACAAGGCTGGAATGGGC